AGCACTTATCCAAGAAGCATCATACAGCCAAACAAGTGACACAACAACAATAACTTTAAGTTCACCCAGCCAAGCAAATACCATCAACAGTCAAGATTTTTGTACAGGAAAGACACTGGATGTTGCAGACAAAGAGTGCCAAACAGTTGACAGTGTATTTCTCTCTGCAGATGATTATTCTTCACTGTTAAGAAAGCATCATTTTGCCCCAATTTCAGTGATGATCTTAGAAAAATCAAGTCACACATTGGTAATTTTTCCAAACCAGAAATGGATCCCAATGCCTTTGAGGTGATATGCAGGGATGCTGGTGCTGAGAATCTGTATTATTGCATAAACAATGCCATATGTTCTGACAGAATGTCCACTGAGCGTAAACATCTTAGCAAGCTCCGAACAATGGTTATTATTTATATCATGGTGTTTTCATTGTCCCAAAGATCCAACTCATTCCAAGTAGCATTATCCAGAACTCTTCAACAGTTTGGAATCACTGAACAAGGACTTCAATCTCTCAGAAATCTTGGTATCGCTGCGCATCCTCATACAGTTAAAGCACAAGCAAAGTTATCTTCTTTGTCACATTCAAGTCATGTTACCAGCTTCATTAAATCAGCCTTGGAAAACAACCATTTTCTCATATTCTGTATAGACGACTTCCACAACATCCATACCATGCATCGGCCAGAGTCTAAAACACAAACAAATGCAATACACATGTCCACTTTGCTGGTGAAAGTCTTTCCTAACATCAAAGCAGTATCCCAGGAAGAAGTTAACTTGCTACCAAATTCCCCAGTTGAAATTCCTATCATGAAATGCCTAATATCAGACAGTATGCACAACATTTCCAAGACATATGCTGAAAATATGCCTGACTGGGTGATGGCAAAATATTTCAATCCAGAATCGGAACGTCAAAGGTTACTGGTTCATGACTATCAACAGACTGAACTAGAGCAAATGAGGCGTATGGACAACACCAAACTTGTTGACAGTCTTGAATTGCCATTAAAATCATACGAAAATGTTCTAACTGCAATAAAGAAGATGCTATCTGGTGGTTTACAAATTTATCTTGATCACAAAATTGCAGCATTTGTTGGTGACTGGCCAATTCAATTTTTTATTCGAAGATTAGTCTATTCTGCCACCCCATCCTTACCAGCAGCTCTTCAAAATGTTGTTCCCCTGATTGGTCCATTGCACATTTCCCTGAATGCGAGAGAATGCGTTTTGCTAATATTTCATGAAATATTTGCTGACTTATACACATTTCTATTTGCGAAAAAAGCAAAGCTAGCAAAGAAACCCAAACCATGGTGTGTATCTCTATTGCTAGAAGTCATCTATGGAGGATGGACACTTATCAGAGACACTATTCTCACAGTCTTCGGCAAATGCAAGGATATTGAGTACCTCACCTTAATAAACCTGCTTGACAGTTATGTTCCTCTTGTACTGAGTAATTATTCCATCCTCTTCAAGTGTAACAGTTATGAGCTATATTGCCATTCATTGCTGCATTGTTGGATCATGTTTGTAGTGTTTTGCAGACGTCACTACAATAAAGCCCTGCTTGTTATGTTGTCATTGTTTGAGCATTGGAAAGAAAATACCCATTCCATGTTTGAAACCTTGCGCCAGAATCTTGTAGCATTTGGTGAATATCCTGTGGAGAACTTTCATTCTGTTCTTAGAGCACGGACAAATGATACAGATTCAGCGGAGCAGATTGCATTCAAGGCCGAAGAGATTGATGCATGTAAACACCAACTGCATTCTTTCAAGTCTGTCTTTGTACCACCAAAACGATTCAGCTTCAGTTCAAAGAAAATAAAAATGTTGAAGGCCAAAGCTGCCAGGTTTTTTGCAAACAAGTTTGAAATCTTGAAAGATCACCCTGACATGGCAACTGAGTAACCACGGGTTAAACGGCAACCCAAACATGTTACCAAGTGGAGACTTCCAAATCTGTTTGGAGACAGAATTGTAAACAATCGAGTCCTGCCTCTTGGATTTACTTCAGTTCAACAAGCTCCAAATCCAACCAGGTAATGATGTGCAGATAAATATAGAAATATATAAAATTACTAATGGTAGAGGGGCAGGACGGGTTAATTTAGTTTTGGAGCACAGTAATAAAATTCATACATTTTACATTGATAAATACTGAGTAAACTTTTGATCACAGTTAAAAAAATCTGTGCTTTAATCTAGAAATGAAAATCTAAAATCCAAATTAAACAAAAGCAACTTACTTTTTGGTATTAATAGAAAATGCGATTTGCTGGAGTGCAACAAGGAAAGTCCCCTGTGGAGAGTATTCTGTGGTTGTGGCCATTCTTTCCACATCGAATGTGTTTTGCCTGACATCAGCGTTTGCAAAATTTTTCAGTCCACGCTATTAACAAAGCTGGAGGACCTTGGAAAGGTAGCAAACGAGGCTGTTTTCTCCCACGACTTGACAGATACTTTGGACGACGAGGACGAGACAGAAAGCGATGACGAAGGTGAAATAGATGACGATGACACAAACAGCGACCAGATCGACTCGGAAGACGAAATCAACGATAGGAACATAAACATTTTGTTGCAACGAATTCAACGTTGGGAACGACCTGACACCCTTTAAAAAGTGTGCTCCATAACCATCATGACCGTATATACACCTACTACTTCAAAGTTTATCTTTATATGAAACGGACAAGACGGCTCAACGCAAACTGAAAGCAGATGTGGACATGTGGTAAATGTTGCACATTCGATCTGGTCTTATGACGTATTTCCGGCAAGAGGTATGAAACAACATTTACATATTAAAACCAGTTTATACATGTTGGATCAAAAAAATACCAAATTTTGAGAAGAAACCGACATTATTCCCCGAATAATTTATCAGGTTTAACGATATGTTGTAGCCATAGAGCGCGATCATTGCAGTAATTCAAACGTTGATATTTCACGTTATGTTTTGAAATTTAAAAAACCCCACGGCAAAATTCAAGATATATTTATGTTTTATTGCATTCTTTCGGTTTTGAATATAAAAAGTAAATATTCTGGCTCACGGATGCCTTAGAATACGGCAATATTTTCTCGCTCCTTTTGTTTACAATTTTTATTTTCAAGCATTCTAATTGGCGGAGAGCAAAAATGTCAACAAACGCGCTGATTGGCTTAGAACGAAATCTGCCCTTGTTTATGAACGCAAAGTTACGCCGTGCACGAAGACACCTCATGGGTTTCACAATTAGATAAATTCTAAATATATTACAAATAGATTTTTACATTTTACAATAATTTATAATAGAATATATTTATTTGCTATTTTATTAATTTATACAATATTTTTCGTAGGTTCAGAAACACCAACACATAGAAAAAAAATAAATGAAGATGAATTGAACATGATGTCCACCATGGACCAGGCAACACTTCATGAATTATTGGGACACGAGGAACATCCAGATGACCTTAACGAGCCTTCACTAGGTGGAATTGCACCAGTATGCCTTGTTACACCTGGTGCAGATCATGACATGTGGGGCCAGGAAATCCAGGTATCCGCACCACAGCCTTCCTCAGCATCAGTAATCCCTATGGCTGCAACGCTCAGAAATCCAGATTCCACTGAGAGCTCAAAACTACCCACTAACAGCACTAGGAAACGACGAGTAACAACACAGGATGTACAAAGAATGCAAATTGAAGTGCTGGAGTTCGAAAAAGAGAAGATCTTGATAGAAGTAGAAAATATGAAGCTTTTGAACAAAAAGTACAAACTTGAGGTGCAAGAATTGCAGGCAAGGCAAGGGCAAGACTTACTTTGATTTTTTTGAATGTAATATATTTTATTATTTGTTCATGATAATACTTAATTAAGTTCAATAATTTAATCTTGAATCACTATGCGTTAGATGACCACCTGCCACAAGAGAGGTTGAAAGCGTTTTCTAGAAATAGAAAATGCCTTAAAACATGCCCATCCTCTTTAATATATTATTTTACACCATATTTTTATACAAAGCCAAATTGGATTGTAAATTAATTTTAACTTAGCTTTGTCTGAAACCAATTTCTCTATACTAGAGCAAATCTTTACTCTCTGGGTAAGAAAATGTAGAAAGATGTGATATTTTTTTTGCATGCAGGCTAGACTAGCTTTATTTTATTGGGTGAATTTAACAAGTTGAGTGCAAAGGTTAATAGTTTAATAATTATTTGCAATGAAATAATTCAATAAATTTACCTTGCGATTCTTGTAATTTTTTATGTTTTTCACAGAATAAATTGAAGTGAGAAGTCTAAATGTGTAAACAAATTGCCTAGCACACAGTTTATCTATATATTTAAACATGCCATAATTTTATTTTAAAAATACCATTACAGAGGCCATATAGTAATTTAGTTAAAGCTTTGCCACCTAAGTACTATTTACAACTTTCATGTGAGATAAAGTTTCAAAAGACTCCAACTTATTAATGTCAAAACAATGTTAAATCTTGGTATTAATTTCTATCAGAGGCAGAAATATCACAACTTGTTTGAAGAATATTAGAAGTATGTGTTCGTTATGTGATTGCGAACAGCCGTTCCCCTGTTCTCACCATCATAATTATGTCCTAAGTCTGGTGGGTCTTGATGTTCATCGTCATCATTTTCCATGGGTTCGTTGTTTTCAATTGGTATGTTGTGGAGGACGCAGCATGCGGCAACAAGTGTACATACTCTCTCAGGTGACATTCTAATTTCGGAGTGCAATAGATGGAATCTTCTTTTCAGAATTCCAAATGCTCTTTCAACTGATGATCTGGTTACCTTTTGTGCCTTGTTGAATCTTCGTTTCTTAACTGTTACTGGGTCGTTGTATGGTGTCATTAGGTAAGGCAAGAGATGAAGTAACTAAAGCTAGCAGAAAATTTCACTAAATATAAAGCAGACAAATTGTCAAGAATAAAGCTCTTATTTCGTGACTTAATTTTATGACTTAGTATGATTTAGTTTAGCAATTTTCCTAACATAACAAAACGTTGCTTGCTTTTAAGTGATGGAAACGAGTGAGTTGATCTAGACCGGAAATGTGCCAATTAAACTTATTGTATAATCATAATGTAAACAAATGTACCGTACAATACCTTTGTGATCGCATATTCCTTGAATGTTTATGCTGTGGTACCCCTTTCTGTTTACGAAGTCGGGTTCGTTGTCAGCTGGCGCTATAATTATCACGTGTGAACCGTCAACACAACCAACAACACATGGAAAGCCTCCAAGATCATAAAAACCTTGTTTGATGATATCTTTTTCTTGTTGTGTTTGCGGAAATTTTACGTAGTTGTCAAGTTTTGCAGCTATAAGCAAAGTTACTCGACGAACAACCCTGCTAACCGTAGCCTTGTCTACTCCTGCAATAGTATCTCCAACGACTTGTAAGAAACTCCCAGTAGCCAAAAATCTTAAGGTTATTAGGACTTGGTTTGTAGCCGAAATTGGGAAGGTTCTGTTAGCCGATGGCCTTATATCGTCTTCAACAAGGCGAACGATGTTGTAAATTGACTCTCTTCCGAAACGGTAACGGGCTCGTAATTCACTGTCGGAGTAATACTATAAAATATCATCGTCTGGTATTTCTCTCCGAAAAACTCTATCTGCTCTTATATTTGCGCGAGGTAAGTTGTATAAATAAAAGCCGGGAAATCGGTATAAAAGCGCCATATTTGCTCTCGAAATAATAACAACAATCAATTTTATTTTATTTTATCCAGCGGATAGTGAATTTAAACTACCTCCGGACCTCGGATAAATTTATCCAACGGATAGTGGATTTTTATCCGTTGGATAGCGCTATCCAAGCTTGGTACAACGCAATTTTAAGCTTGAATAAAATTTATCCGCCGGATAGGGATTTATCCGCCTTTGATACAACCGGCCCCAGGGTTGTTAAAAACTAATGGGATGACTGTATTTGGTTACGTTATTTATCCAACCCTGCCATGAACCATATTCGTCTGGAGACTGGATCAAAACATGGTCTGAGTAAACGTGATATTTGTATCTTTTTTATGAACGTTTATGAAAATTTCTACACATTGAAGACAAAATGATTTTTGTTTTCTGCCAGCATCGGACCGTAGATCAGTTAAGTTTATAAATGTATTTTGTGAGCTAGTTTGAGGCTGGGATAATTATTAAAATGCTGAAGATAAGAGGAGTCTCCTTTTCACGCAAGATGCATTTTGCGTTCACAAATTACATCCGTGAGATAATCAAAATCGTCCAGGGATCGCGAAGGGAGAGAGAGGATAGTTTTATGTTTTGAAAGTTTTCCTCAGTTTCCAGGGCTCATTTCTCTATGCATATCACTTTCAATCTGGGCTAAGAGCTCGCTATGATCTTGAGAAGATAACAAATAATGACGTTATGAAGTTTCTCCCAGAAGGACTGAATTCTATTTACCAAGGATATTTCAAACGCCTTGAAGACGAGCTTAGCGACATAAAACATGAAAAGTTCGATGTGTTGAAAATTTCGGAAATGCTGGCTGCTTCCGAAGAAGATCTTCCCCTCACTTTCGTCGCTCAGGCTTTTGGTTTAGCTCCAGATTGTCGCGAAACGAAAGACATCATCAACAAAATTAATGAAACCGTATCGTGCTTGTACGTTTCAGATGACATGTTAACCGTTTTTCACAAATCCTTTATTGATTGGCTTCTAGCAAAGGGCTACAAAGATCACCAGTATACTGTCAAGGTCGATGATGGACATAGATCGCTTTGGCTTTTATGCGAAAAGGTTTTTAAAGAAATTGTGGAAAATGTTCGCTCAGGACCTCAGGTGAAGTTGACTAATGACGTGGAATACGCTCTGAAACATGGTTTAAAACATCTAGAAAAGTGTGAAATGGAGGAAGGTGTCTTTTGGTCAGTTGATGTTATTATCGTATGTTATATGTTAACTGTAATCAGTTCACGCATATTGCGGTTTTTCTGGCTCACATTACTGCGAAGCTCTTGGTTTAAAAACGAAGATTTACGCGCCCTCATTTCATGATGAAAAGAAAATCGCGGAGACGCTACTATCAAACCTTTCACCTCTTGTCGAATCGAATTCTTACGAAGTTTCTGTTTTGCCGCGAGCAGTCTGGGAATACTGCGACGTTGCTGGTTTAATTACAGCTGTTGCTTTATCTAACGATCAAAAAAGAGTATGGAATGTTATCTGTGTGTTATCCCTACCAACTTTAGTTGAAATTATGAGTTATTCAACAAAATTGGAGAATATTCCATTCTGCACATTTTCTGGAGGTCGGAAAATTTCTTGTTTGAGATTAGTGAATTTAACAAGTTTCTCTTTTTAACGCGATACCCGGTAGATGGTGTTTAAAGATTCTGTTCACTCACAGTCAACAAGTGTCGCTGTGTCATTTAGATAGCTCCATTTTTGTCCGAAATTCTAATTTTGGTTTTTCTGAATGCTTTGTCAGCTTGGGTCTCGAAAGGAATGAGCCCACGGTAGTTCTCCGATGTCAGAGATGTTGATGGTCCTGTAATGATCAACTTGCCTGGAATTGAGACTAAGATGAAAGTGGAAATCTCGCCTGGTGGTGCCTTTATCTCTGGTTGGAATTGGAGAAAATGTTATATTTGGAAAAGAAATACAGAAAAACCAACTTCGTATGAAGCCTTTTGTCACCGTAGTGGTTGCATGGAGCCTGGTGACGTAATTTTCAGTAATGATTCCAAAGTTGCAGTGGTCATGAATTGGTTGTCCAAGTGGTCATGAAGTGGTTGCTTGGAGCTGGTCTAGACCTCCTTCCCTCCGTTTGTCTGGGAGTTCACCTTGGGCAAGTGATAGCACTCCCTTGCCTCCCTAACTGGGGCTACAGTTTGTTAAACAAAACAAAGATGATATCTTGAATACATCTGCAAGAAACAAGTCCTAAAAACTGTGACCAATGCCAGTTGTATGATGGTGTTGTTTAAGATGTTCATTGTGGTAGTTACAGTCATGGTGGTGATAATTCGCATCTATGATGGTGGTGATCGTGCTAGTCTCTACGATGGTGCTGATGATAATTGCGCTGGTCATGAAAATAATGGTAGAAATTGTAGTAACTATATTAGCTGTATTTTTGTTCACGAAGTTTGATGCTAATGAAAACGAAAGATAACGGAACTCAGTGACGTCAAACACAAGAACGATAATTGTGGGGGAGGGGGTGTTAATAGCTTAGAATGGAAACCCATCTGTTAGAACTGAACATACACTAAAAGAACTATATGTTCATTACAGGGAACGTTCGTTTCTTAGCTCGGAAGGAAGATATTTGTAGTCCTGAAGCGGGAGATTGAAAATTGTAAAAACTTGCGTGAAATTTGAATATGAATTAAGGGCCGTAGCTAGAAGCTTAATTAGGGAGGGAGGGGGGTATATTCATATATTCGTCTTATCAGTCTTATGCCCGACAGATTTCTTTTGTACGCTGTTGTTCCTACGGTATATAAACATGAATATATGAATATACACCCCCCCCCCCCCAATTAAGCGGTCTAGCTAGGGCCCTGTATAAATTATGTTGAAGACATCTGATGTTCATGAAAAAGAAGGTCACGAAACAACACAACAATTATGTTTTAGGCGTGTTTCAAACGTTTTTTTATCTTTAATGCGTTCGACACTTGAAAGAAGAACGACGTTTGAATCAGGCCTTAACTAGCCCAGAAGAAGAATTTTTAGCAATGTTTTTGCATTATTTTTTGTAGAAAATAATACGCAAACTTTTTCATTCCCAAGCGCTAAGTTCTACTAAATCCCGTTCTCCACTTGCAGAATTTATTCGCACGAACTGATAAAGAATTAGGAAGCGATGCAACATTTTCGCGGCGAATTTCTTCGTGGAGCAATCACATCACCGGTTTTTAGATTCCGGTTTGCGTCGCGCGAATAAATTCCCCGAGTGGAGACCCAGCTGGTGTGAAAATTTTCTATGAGAATGAAATATCTGTATAAAGCATACGAATGGCAGAGCTTTGTTTTGTTAATTAATAAAAAGTAGTGTCTTTAATAAACGAACACGCAACTATATTGATCTGTAAGCAAATTAATATCAAGTGTTGAAATAGGATATTATGACTTAGAAAGTGTCTGGTGCACACAAGTACATATCTGCTTGATATTTAATCATAGGCTATTGCAAGCATTTATTGTAATTTGTATAGATTTGTAATTTTGTAAACCATTTCATGATTTCACTTTGTTGACTGTTGTTGAAATTCTTATTTCGGTGTTTGTCTTACATCTCTAAAGTTGTCTCGTGCGATATCAACTTTGGAGGTAATTATACCAAGAACCAGGGTCCAGGATTGTTAGATTCGTTAAATAAATTAATCAAACACTTTCATTAGTGTCCACAAAAACAAAAAACTAATTGGATGACTGTATTTGGCTACGTTATTTATCCAACCCTGAGAAGAACAATATTCGTCTGGAGACTGGATCAAAACATGGTCTGAGTAAACTTGATATTTGTTTCTTTTTTTGTGAACGTTTATGAAAATTTCTACACATTGAAGTCAAAGTGATTTTTGGCTTTCTACCTGCATCGGACCGTAGATCAGTTAACTTTATAAATGTATTTTGTGAGCTAGTTTGAGGCTGGGATAATTATCAAAGGGCTGATGATAAGAGGGAGTCTTCTTTTCAAGTAAGATGCATTTTGCGTTCTCAAATCACACGCCTGAGATATTCAAAATCGTCCGGGGATCGCAGAAGGAGAGAGAGAGAGAGAGGGGTGGATAGTTTTATGTTTTGAAAGTCAGTTCCTCAGTTTTTCTGTTCCGCACCGAATTGCAAGGAATGTTTTAAGACTGCAACAGTGGCTCCGAGAGATTTGAATATTCCTATTGTGATAATTTCTCCCATGCAGGAATTCCAGCAATGTCGAAACAATTGGAAAAAATGTGGTTCGCTTCCAATACTTTTTTATTGCCTGGTTTCTTAAGGCTGTCTAAGCCTGTCTTCCACTTAAGCTGCGTCACACGGTACCGGATCCACTCATCACGACATCTTCGTTTGCCGTTATGAAGCAACGATTATTAGAAAATGATTATTAATTTCATAGATTTGGTATATTTATTCAGGGCTCAGGCATTAAAAAACACCGCTGTCTTTCATTAGCTTCAAAATTTGACCTGATGGTAATCCGGTACCGTGTCAATTTATTTATATTTTCAGAGATAACATGTATAATGATTTAGAGTTCCGTGTCTAACGTGCGTATGAAAAAAAACGCGAACGTGGAAAGCAGTCTTTAGAATAGTAAAAAAGGTAAATTATAACAAATTTTTCACATTCGGACTTAATTTTCGCCACTATCAAGAGAAGTTAGAACTGCAGGTCTAAAAAAGATCACGATCTTAACTGAATTTCTCGATGCTCTCCCCAATATTTTTAAAGGCGGTGTTTTTTGAACAGTTACCTGTAATTATCAGCAATTTAAAAAATATGCAAATTATTTAATAATAGGATATAAAAAATGTAGAGATATCGTTCCATTTTTTGTACCTTCAGTTCGCAGAGCCATATAGCTCAGTGGCCACACCCAAAAGCACAAGAGCCAAACTTCACCCAGTTCCTGTTTCTCTTTGAGTCTTCAAAGTCTGTGTTCGTTATTTGTCAAAATGATCGTATTCTTAGACTAGAAGCTCTCAAAGTGATCCTGATTCGTCGTGGGTGATCAACTTAATCATTGAGGAAGCTGAAGTTGTTTTGACAGGTTTTATCGACGCAGACAAGTACAAAAACAAAGACATACGGCTTTGGGCTAGTCGTGGTAATACAGACTAGACAAGACCAGATTGTCGAAGGTATGTGCTAGATTCCTTGTGAGATTTCTCTCATATTGCGATATACGTATGCGTCCCTGTCTATTTTGCTTTAAATTACAATATTTGACGGGATAGTTTGGTTTATATTGCTGTTTCACGTAGTATATTGCACATTGTTGCTTATATATACATTGCTTACTAGTTTAATAGTAAACAAAAATATTCACAATCTGATTTTGCTGGGTACGGGAGGAATTTATTTTTCAATGCTTTGTGGTTAATATCATGTGCAAAATAATACACCAGTCAGCGCTATAGTTTCGTTTTATGAATTCTGCTATAAAATGGTCGTATTAAAACACATCTAATTTTCAATTTATATACATACTCCTCCCCTAGTTTTAATACAGGAAATCAATTTTGAAACATTCGCTAAATTATTTAGACCCAGGGTCCATAAATATCTTTCAGGGAAAATATCATTATTTCATTTATTTCTTACATGTCCATTTTAAACATTTTATTCCACCTGCTGAGATGAAATTATTAAAGTTTTTACTAATCAATTCTTCCGTAAATTCAACTTCAAATGAAATCACCCATTGTTAGGAAAATTGTTAGGAAACACATTTGTTTGAAACCATTGTGGAACTGGATAATATTTAACAATTACTCGCCAAAGGCGAGGTGATTATTGGGGAATATTCTCTGAGACAAAGTCGAAGTGAATATTCCCTAATAATCACGAAGCCTAAGGCGAATAATTATTTTAGTATTTTTGCACAAGAGAATTGACACAAGAACTGCAATTGTTCGCTTATTTCTTTGTACAAAATGTCCCCAAAACGGCTAGCGGTAGCCACCATTAACCATTTTGCAATTTCGGTTTTGTTATATTCACCTTAATGTGAATATAAGTTATATAACAGAATATGTCAAATTTGACCAATCAGAATGTAGGATTTGTTACATTCACTTGTTCAAAAATAATAATATATGTTATATCAACGCAAATACCACATGACTAAAAGACTGAGATATATTTTACTAAATTTTAAAATCATAATTTGAGTATTCTAGTTCTATTAATCTTACATCCACATGCCATCACATTTTACACTATGTGCATTTATTGCTATGGTTTCTTTCTCATGTATAATACCAGCTTGTATACAGCTAATTGATAAAAGGTCATCCTCTGGCTATCATGTTAACTATGTATTTAGACTACACCTTCTGTTCCAACCAAAAGTATTTTAACAAATACACTGGTCAGTCATTGATCAGTCCATCTAGTACAACAATATCTGTCAATCACTGAAATAAATTATCTGTCAGTTCAGCAATACTTTAGTTGCAAATATTTTCATTCATGAGGTTGGAACTTAATCAGCCCTAATGCAATCCCTGCTAATGTTTGACAGAGTTCTCTATGGCTTAATTACTTGATGATAACCTGCATTAAGAATCCCAATCTTGACCAGCAATCCTAATTAACCATGACCTAATCCTAATTAAGAATGATGTTCTGTCAACAATGCCTGTGATGAAATCTCCACTGAGTGCTTGTGAGGTTTTAAATTGCAAATTTTGATAATTTTGAAATTTTAGCCTTGTGATTATAAATGATTTATCAACAACATGGTCAAGCAGACATGGTTGGTTATATGTGCATGTAGGTGCAGAACAAACATTCCTCATTTCTTTGAACCTACTATTCTAAGATATTTCAGGTTATCGCCACTCATTTTATTTATACCAAAGACCCTGAATCTGTATCTGTATATGTTCTCTATATACTCGGTTGCAATTGAAAAGTTTAAAGGGATTTATACTTTGAGGATTAACTAAATCAATGTTCCCAGAAACAAAATATTTATTTTATATACTATAATCGACCATTTTTTACAATGAAATGAATAATATCAACTTTCTGCTAATGAAAATGACCCCCTAAATGACCCCCTAACACTCGCACGACATTCTAAGGTGCATTGAAGTTTAAATTAATTGTGATTTTTGGCACTTCACTCGATGCAGGTAAATTCTAGAGGTTTTAAAGGGTCTTAATTTCGAGTGGAATTATACACACTTCAAATTCAAGCCTGGAACAGTTGATATGGAAAAATTTCGGTATTCATTACAGTTAAAGAAACATGCATGGGGATTTGGGAGAGTGAGAAATGAGATGAGTGGGTTTTCCACGTTATGTTTAATATATTTATCTGCGAAAAATCCACAAACTTACAATTTTAAAAATCAAAACTTTCATGATTCCAAGATGCATGCAACGGCAACAGATTTAGAAAACTTTTATCATATCAAATCTTAGAATTAAGAATGATCAAAATTTGCTAAATTTTAATGTTTTTTTGTTCTATTATCGAACAGACTGTATAGTTAGTTTTTATATAACCTTTAGTTATTAAAATTTTTGCTATAAATTATAGATACATTCTTAATGATACCTACTTTTTATTTCCGAAAATCATGTCTATTTCAGCTTTAGGGCTGCGAAGTGATTTGTTTTAGTAAACAGTAATAATGATATTCATTCTATCAAATAGAATTGAGGGTTTGTATACGATCTGAAATATAAATATCGTTTCCCGCTTCGTGGTCGTGCGATTTTTGTAATGACGCATCCGCACTTCACTCAGTGCAATTACCATTATAAATACGCATCCCACGTGACACTCACATGACATTCTAGCCGCTGATTGGGTGGGTTAAAGTTAAAATCAGAATTTGTTCTTTCTAGGTTTTAAATCTACATTTCAGTCCATCTGTCCGTTATCCTCCCTGAGAATTTTGACCATGTAGTGCAATCATCGCTTTGAAGATTTGAGAAGGTACGTTTGTGTCAGTGTGGTTACGTTATTCGAATATTAACAGTATGAGTGTCTATTTTATTCTATTGAGTGGCATAGTACACAGCTGTGACGTCATTACGTTCTTCGAATATTAACAGTATGAGTGTCTATTGTATTCTATTGAGTGGCACAGTACAGTGCTGTGACGTCATTACGTTCTTTGAATAATAACAGTATGAGTGTCTATTGTATTCTATTGAGTGGCACAGTACAGTGCTGTGACGTCATTACGTTCTTCGAATATTGATAGTATGAGTGTCTATTGTATTCTATTGAGTGGCCCAGTACAGAGCTGTGACGTCATTGTTAAATGAACTGGTAACCAATATAGAAATAATTCATAACACGATTGCGAGGCTCAAGGGCTAAAATCTGACAATAATCAAACACTAAACAGCAAATAAGGCAGATTAGTTGTTCTGAGACTAAGGATCGATCAATACAGTTTTATTTTGATAGACTCGATCCTTATATTTTAACAGACTAGATCCCTGAGCGCCTAATAATACTGCATAGACTTACGACAATATAATAATCCAGCTTAACTTGTTACATGCTGAGGAGGCACAGCCACTAGTCTGATGAGAGTAATGTTTTATGAAGTGTTATTTGTAAAAAATAAATGATCAAGAGTTTGCTGAAACAGCTTTTAAAACTTATCGCTTGAACTAAATGGAATTTATAAAAAGACTTAATTCAACGACAGTTTACAATCGGAGATAGGGAAATCGAGTAGCAATAGATCTTAAATACACGAGATATTTTCATAAATTATTTGGCATCAAAATATATTCAGATCATACTGTTTATAAATGAGAACATGCTTTTAGAATTTATAATGTCAAGAAAAATCTCATTTCCACGTCTCTAAGTTAGAAGAGTTCGTTTTGGTCAGAAAACAGTGGGCCCAAGTTCTAGAATATTCGTTAGTCATCTAACACCGAAGCAACACGCGAAGGTAATTAGCCTTGTAGGAAGACGATGTGCCATTAGCTAGATCTATAGCTAGATCGATAGCCATCTGCCAGAAGCTTCCTTTCTTAAAACCACTGCGCGCCCCTGCGCGCTATAACGCTTTCTTTGGCCGCCGATCGAACCCTTCAAGCTGGACTATGGTTTGAATTTAATATTACAATCCTGAAGAAAGTTAATTATTGCAAATACTGACTTCATTTGGCTCACTGTTAGTTAATCAAACTCGAGGATTTTTTTAGAATATATCGTTGCGGATATTAACTTGATAACACATGAAAATTTATGTATAACAAATGCTTTTGTTTTTCCCACTAAAACTTATCTAGGGCCACTATTGCTTCAGGACGATCACGATGGAAAATGACGTACTCGCGTACTATTATATCTATTTTTTACAGTAACCTCGTCCAATTTCTTTGGCCACCGATCTCCATATAACAAGACGCCGTTCTGGCGTTAACTCTGGCGCACGTGCCAGTCTTCAATATATAGCTTCTGAACATAAACAATACAGTTCGCGTATTGTTTCGCATACATATTCGCACTTAGATGCCTTGCGAACCTAAATGTTCGATCGCGAAATTCAGAAGCACATCGCAGTATAGTTCAATTGTTCAAAAATGTGAATAAACCGCATGATACATTTGCTTTGTCTTACACTTTGCCTTTGGAATTCGCGCTTATATAGTTATATTAAATCTTCGATCCTGTATAAACTACGCGACGTGTCAACACGACCACATCATCTTGTTGAACGGCGAAATAGCAGCGATATTATTAAAATAGGACCGGGTCTACATGTATTAAATATATTCTTACCCCAATTCAATCTAAACTTAATCAAACAGCATGAAAAGAACGGTTTATTTGTTCCTCTCGGAGGAATTGCCGTATCATGCGAGCGAAATCGAATCGCGCATTGGAAAATTGGCCAAAACTGTGCACCACAACTCTTGGGAGATAAGACTGGGACGTAGATAAATACGGTCACATACACGTTTTGAATACTAGTATATTTCGCGCCATTACAGACTTGCGACGACGAAAAATAAAAACAAAACAAAACAAAACCGGGGCGAATTTTCAACTCCGTCGCTGACGCCGGAGTAATTAATAGCTTAATGAAACTTTTATCATAGGCAGCCCAGACTTTGACTTGCGCGTGTGATACTCGCGCGCGTATCGCGCTTACGTTGTAATTTACTTCGAATATATATATATATATATATATATATATATATATATATATAATATATATATTATATATATATATATATATATATATATATATATATATACAGTCGTTATCAAAAAGGTTGTCCCGATCAATACATATAGAAATATATAAATATCAATCACGTGACCATTAAACATGGCTTATTTTGATCATTTATCACTTGTTTCTTTATTATTACAATATTGTTCACCTTACTATGACATTTCAGAAATTTTTACGACAGATTTCACACAATTTCTCATAAAATTAACGTATGTAGTAAAATCACGTGACCGATATTTACGTATTTATATATATTTACATATGACAACCTTTTTGATAACGACTATATATATATATATATATATATATATATATATATATAATTATATATATATATATATATATGTATAGGTTATCATATGAGGGGCGAGGTGATATCGGTTTTATCGCTTGAGGGACGATATCATAAATGTCACGAGTGAGCGCAGCGAACGAGGGACATACATTTATGATATCGTCCTGAAAGCGATAAAACTTATAGCACCTCGTCCCGATTGTGATAACCTGTTTATCACATACTTCTTTTTCTTCTATAAAGCAATCGACATCGACTGAAACAAACCTCGAACTGCTCGAGTCAGCCATCTTTGTTTTGACAGCGGCAAATGCAGCGGGACAAAAAGCGATATCAGTGACAAAAAGCGATATCAGTGACGATATCGTTTTTATGTCACCCTGTTATCGCCCTGATAAAGGCACAAGTATGTGATAAATATATATATATATATAATATATATATATATAATATATATATATAATATATATATATATATATATATATACTGTCGTTGTCAAAAAGGTTGTCCTGAGCAAGTATATGTATATATCGATCACGTGACATTATTATGCATCAACACGCGTGGGATTGTACAAGCGTGTTAATTGCGAGTTATAGTATAGCAAGGTGAACGATTAGAAAATGCCAAGACCATATTCGGATGATTTAAGCTGGAGAATGGTTTATCAACGACTGTTCTACGAAAGAATCATCGACGAAATTGCAGCACAGCTATTTGTTTGTTCAAAAACCGTCTATCGTACTCTCAGCACCTTTTGGAACACGGGTGATGTGAAGCCTTTCCGTATGGGTCGCCCAACAGCGAGCGTATCTTTATTCCCACACGAAGAATATATTATCATGGACTGTTTACTGCGAACGCCGCAAATATAGTTGAATGAGATAGCAAGCTATATCATTAATGCTACTGGCTCTGCATTTGGCCCGGAGACACTGTGCCGAGCTCTCTATAGGCTTGGAATAACACGCAAGAAGGTACGAACATTATGACATTATTTAAGTTGGAATATATACTTAATACCGCACGCTGGAAATCATATAACTATATTAATAAGACGCAAGCCATTCCACCTTTTTCCAATTTATTACAAGATTCTAGTTGTTCTTTATCAACTCTTCAAGCCAGATTTTCTTTTTCAGATACAGAGAATTGCTCTTCAGCGAAGAAACGATATTGGGCTACAATTCATGGCCGAAATCAGCCTTTTTGACCCAAACCTGCTCGTTTTCCTCGATGAAACAGGCATTGTATGTACTAAATAATACCTTACTGTAACTGGATTGCACAAACTAGTAGATCTTTTATTTATTTGGTTCTACGTTTTAAGGATAAACGAATTGCTCGGCAATATGGATATAGTGCTCGTGGGATACCGCCTGTTGTGAGCGACTATAGCTATGCACGGTGGACACCGCGCTTTTCCATTATTTCGGCAATATCGTGTGATGGACTTCTTGCGAACTGCATGTTTGTTAAGAATCCTGAAGAAAGATTCCTGAAGAAAGATTTGAAACACGCTCCTTTATCCATTTTATTAATGAACAGCTTTTACCAGCTATGAATCGATTTGATGGGGAAAACCCGCGATCCGTTCTCGTTATATGCTTGAGATTTGAATATAATAAATGCAAATTCGCTGTTCTAACATATGTCTCAAGGGACGACTGAATTTGTGATCATGTTTTGATCTATTAATATCTGTTTAAACAAAACTTGTTGATGCACAAAGATGCAACTCATAAAACTAGTAATATATGCATATTTGTTAACAGATAACCACCCAACACATCACAGTCCTGATTTGCATCCTACATTGAAGAGGTTTACATATAGCTTGCTATCTCATTCAACTATATTTGCGGCGTTCGCAGTAAACAGTTCATGATAATATATTCTTCGTGTGGGAATAAAGATACGCTCGCTGTTGGGCGACCCATACGGAAAGGCTTCACATCACCCGTGTTCCAAAAGGTGCTGAGAGTACGATAGACGGTTTTTGAACAAACAAATAGCTGTGCTGCAATTTCGTCGATGATTCTTTCGTAGAACAGTCGTTGATAAACCATTCTCCAGCTTAAATCATCCGAATATGGTCTTGGCATTTTCTAATCGTTCACCTTGCTATACTCGAACTCGAAATTAACACGCTTGTACAATCCCACGCGTGTTGATGCATAATAATGTCACGTGATCGATATATACATATACTTGCTCAGGACAACCTTTTTGACAACGACAGTATATATATATATATATATATATATATATATATATATATTATATAATATATATATATATTATATATATATATATATATATATATATATTTAGGTATTAAAGAGTTTATCAAAACACTACAGGTATATGTTACGTTCAACGGTGAAAACGAACAAAAACTGAGAACAGTGTAGCTCGATACCTTGACTGGTAACTTAATTGAACAGCGAATAGCTCTATAGTTGGAAATCCATATTTGATAATAACGGATGAAAACGCTAATTGTGGATTAATGCCATGAAAAAACACATTTTCGGGTAACCTATGATTTGATGTTGTCAGCTTAAATTAGCATCGTCTGGTGTATGGCTTTATAGATTTAGCCTTTTTGTCTGTCTTCAGTTTGTGTGTCCCTATTTTCTGGCTGTGCTCAGATTATAGGCTTGGCTTGGGAGAGACCTAAAACTACAAGTCATTTCCCGTACGCAATACAGTAAATGTATAATTATCTTTTCTCTAAAATTTACATTAAGATACGTCATAAAAACTACAGCCTAATCAACACTGATGACTAAACTACATTATCCTGAAGTTTCCATGTTTTTAAACATCATCTAAAGACTTCAAATTACCGAATTAAAAAAGGAATTCATACGAAATTTTTAGAAAACTATCCGCAGATCACCCCGCCTAAGAAAACGTCATCTTTTTTAAGATATCATCTTAACGCTTATTGGCTTACCCACAAGACCGCCAATGAGCTTTTAGCTTGATATCATAAAAATATATAACGTTTCATTAGGCGGAAAAGAGCACAAAGCTATTGTGGATTTAACTATCGCCCAAGAGGGAAAGCCACTCAATAGTACGTAGCGTGCTCTTTTCAATGTTTGCTAGCAAAATACTTAATTAGAATTAACTATTTCTTTTTTGATAATTGTTTGTTAAGCAGAACAACACGTGTAAATATGTTTTCAAGTAAATGCACTGATAAAGGCCAGGGTTAACGGACCGAAAGATTTGCAGTATGAAATACTTACGTGGTGTAGCCACAAACTAAGTTACTTTTCTTTAAATTAATGTCTTTTTGATAAAATAACTCTGCTTTTTTTCTGAACCCTTCAAGCTGGACTATGGTTTGAATTTAATATTACAATCCTGAAGAAAGTTAATTATTGCAATTACTGACTTGATTTGGCTCACTGTTAGTTAATCAAACTCGAGGATTTTTTTAGAATATATCGTCGCTGATATTAACTTGATAATTCATGAAAATTTATGTATAACAAATGCTTTTGTTTTTCCCACTAAAACTTATCTACGGCCACTATTGCTTCAGGACGATCACGATGGAAAATGACGTACTCGCGTACTATTATATCTATTTTTTACAGTAACCTCGTCCAATTTCATGGCTTCTGACGAACTGCAAGAGAGGGAAAATTTTACAAGACTCAGTAGACTTTTAGTTGACAAAGGAACTGAGGCTTTGAGAAATACATTTGATACCATCCATCCACCTGTTAGTCTACCCAGAGTACTGGCTGCAAACAAAACATCTCTTCAAAAGTTAAAACCTCGAGTTATTAATAATTCCCAGTGGGATTTACTGTTTCCTCCGTCTGGCAACCCGCCAGATTCCAAAACCTTTAATATCACATTACTTACAGTTCTATTCCGGAACATTTGTGGTTTTCCATCAACAGGATGGGGTGTAATGCCTCCAGATACAGATAGATCAGAGCAAGCGAATATCACAAGAATTAAGTCTTACAGAAATGAAGTTATTGCACAAGTAACAACAACCAGAGTTGACAATTCAACATTTCAATCTTTGTGGAAAAAAATTGCCCAGGCATTGGTAGAATTGGGCATTCCACGGAGTGATGTCGACGATTTAGAAAAATGTCCGTTAGAACCTAAAAAATTAGAATGTTCCAGTGATTCACGAAGAGAATATGATGAAAAAAATGGTAAGTATAAACAAAATTAATTCGTATACCCAGGCGGCAGCAGCAGTATTCAGCTACTATACAGAGATCGGTGTCCAAAAAAGCATGAACGCGCGGGGTTGTTTCTGGCAAATTGTGTCGATTTCTGGCAAATGTGATTTTAAAGTGCTTTTTTCTGTACTTTGACGAAAATCTTTAACAACTATGGACGCGCCGGAAGAAAGTCACCATATGAAGGTATTTAATGCTACCGTTTTGTTTTTCTTTATATTAATACGGCTATTTTTGAATATCCGATAAGCCAATTATCGTGTATTGGCTTTTGCGCAATGTCACTGATGTCCTCTGTTCTATAATCTCAAGTAAATCAAATAATGTTTTCCTCGTTGGGAAAACGTACGCTAAAATTCATCTATTACCGACATTCATCTATTTTATATCTTTGCATACTATTTTTCATATTTATAAAATACCAGCCTGAATGATGTCGACATCTTTTGACTTTTCCGTTGAGGTGTATGAATATGTTCTGCAATACGAGAATTAAGTTCTGATGATAAGTTGAATGCATCCTTTGAATAACTTTTTAAGAGTAAGAGTCGACAGCATTTAAGTATGTGTTTATATTTTATATGACTGTTCATGATTAAGCTTAAGCAATGCTAACATATATTTTCTAGGCACTCATGATACAGCTGAGTGTGAGGTTTATTAGGAGACATCAAGTAAATCAGTCAGTAATTCAGAGAAGCTTGGTTTTGGAAAGCATCCATTGACACCACAGGTTAGTTCGTGTTTATGAATTCAGAATATTTGGGTATTACTTCATATTGTAAAGATTATTTAGTCTTAGTTTATTTTATACAATGGGTTGAGCTTCAACGAACATTTAAAAAATATGCAGTCAGAGAAAAAATGAAATGGCATTCAAACGTGATGAAATTTTTGAGTACTGGGAGAGTCCAGATGAAAATGCGGATCAATTTTTGCTAATGGAAGATCAAAAAAGCATTTTTACCAGAAGCATTAATTAGGTCATTATTAATTTTACAAAAATAAGCAAAAGGAATGTTATTATTGGAGCTTAAGATTATGCAATGTTGCATGCTTGCTGAAAACACATAATATACTATACTGGTGTCCTCACTTGAAATAATAAAATAATAATAAAAATTGAACAGACATTCTTTGTGCCGTTATCAAGGCACTGAAGTGTTTATTTCTCGTGCATTTCTCCAGTAAATTATGCGCGCAAATTCATTCTGTAAGCAAATATTCGCGTTTGTGGCGGACTCTATGATGATGATCTACGCCAGTTTCTTCGAAGAATTACTTTTTTGGAGGGCTGTTCTCATGCAAGCAAAGAACTTCTGCCAAAAGAACCGAATTATGTACCTGACTTTCAAATACTTCAAATATCTCCTTATATACACCAAGCACGTCGCCATGTTTAATTCATTTTCTGCCAGAAGCTTCCTTCCTTAAAACCACTACGCACCCCTGCGCGCTATAACGCTTTCTTTGGCCACCGATCTCCATATATTTAATAGCTTAATACAACTTTTATCATAGGCAGCCAAGACTTTGACTTGCATGTGCGTGTGATACTCGCGCGCGTATCGCGCTTACGTTGTAATTTACTTCGAATGTATATATATATATATATATATATATATATATATATATATATATATAATTATATATATATATATATAAATTTAGAAAGATTGTTATAGCAAATAATTCGGCAAATTTATATATATATAATATATATATATATATATATAATATATAATATATAATATATATATTATATAGGTATTAAAGAGTTTATCAAAACACTACAGATATATGTTACGTTCAACGGTGAAAACGAACAAAAACTGAGAAAGTGTAGTTCGATACCTTGACTGGTAACTTAATTGAACAGCGAATAACTCTATAGTTGGAAATCCATATTTGATAATAACGGATCAAAACGCTAATTGTGGATTAATGCCATGAAAAAACACATTTTCGGGTAACCTATGATTTGATGTTGTCAGCTTAAATTAGCATCGTCTGGTGTATGGCTTT